GACATCAGATACAGTTTGAGCTGTATGCACAGAGGCAGAAAAGAAGATGACAAACATCACTGTTTAACAAATGGCCAAGGAAGAGAAATCTGAGAAGAAACTAATACAATCAGGCAAAAGTTCTAAGAGGCAAAATGGACTTTGAGTTGTGCTGGAAACTAAGCAAGAAGACCTTTTGAAGAAGAAAGGTATGGGCGACAATGTCAAGTGGTCACGAGGTCAAGTAAGACAATGACCCAGAAGTTCATTGTTGAAGGCAACACGAGAAAGGAAAGATGCAGAATCCCCTTCTGGAAATGAGAATAGGATTTCACTTCTAAAGGCCTCTGCACATACAACTTGCGTGCATTTTCCTCTAACAGTAAAAGTTAAAGTTGATGGACTAGCAAGTTCCAAGTATTATCGTTGATACATGATGGAATGGGAAAGAGTGACTTTTGCAAGCTTAAGTCAGGAACAATATTTGGAAGAAGGGAAGCTAGATGTCAGCACAATCATGCTATCTTACATCTGATCCAGGAAAGCTGACTCAGTGTGTTATTCTTCTTTCATGCCAGCTAAAGTCACATGAAAAAGAATAACTCCTCAATTCATCTGTCATAAATAACTGAATCCTTTATAAAGCTGATTGCACCAAGATGGGAGAAGATGAGGACTGAAGAGTAGTATGGTTGGTCGCACGGGTAAGAGGGAAAGGAAAAGGAAAGAAAACCAGACAAACGATGGCTGTTTCTCACATGATCACCACAATTTTTGCACATTATGGACTCTCTCACTCCAACCATCCATCAGCTGAGGCGTTTTAGTTCTAACCTTTAAGATATCAGTAGAAATTATCATGATGACCAAAGGAAAATTTCTGTCAGGCAGAACACTTGATTCTCAGCAAATATAAAGTACACCTAGATGCAACATTGATGTGCAAACTGCCATTCTGACAATTTTGGAGAATTTCCTAACTTCCCCTTCTGCTCTCTCACCTTTCTCTCCTGAGGCCACAACATGTCAGACTACGTTAAAGGTAGCAACTCCAAAAGAAACATCTATCGGTGTCTTTGTGTACCAGATTCTACCCAGGTAGTGTGTCCTGGATAACAGCAGTGCCTCTCTCCTGCTCAAAGTAAATATTTCTTGCTGCAATAGGTCAGAGCACTTTATTGGATTTTGCTCATGCCAGTCTATGAGGACATATTTAAAAATAAAATTTATGTAACCAGAGATACATGCAGTGGTGAAAGAATGACAGCAAGGCACTTGGTGCCTTACTATATAACATTCAGTCTATTGTTTTGTCTTACTTGGTTTGATCTTAAAAAGTGTCAAACAGTACTGTCTGCTGAAGTAAAAGACATCTTAGCATGTGCACATCATCAACCTATCAATATCGATAATTTCTAAATTAGCTTTGCTCTAGTTAATATTTACACACATTTTCTCCTTGGACTAGGCACACAGCTTATTTACTGGAATAAAAAGAGCAATTACAAATAACTCTTTAACAGAAAGTCAGTATCCTCTGAACATACCTGATTCAAACATATTCAATATCAGATATTAAGGATACCATGGAACAAAATCAAGTAATTCTTTTACTTAAAGAAAAATAGAATTTGCATTTCTGTATCCAATCTCTTAGAGGCTTAGTTTTTTATTTGTTTGTGTGTTGGAGCCAACCCAAACATTTTTTGAAGAAAATCTACGTTTTCTCTGCCATGAAAATATAGAATTGTTGTCTATCAAGTCAACTGTTCATGAAAACATAATTTTTAAATTGCAGGGATTTTATAACTCAGAATTATCTAAATTCCCTTCTCATACTTTCTTCCTATTGGCTCTGACTTCCAGATATATGCTGAATCTATTCAATTTGGTCCATGCCATAGCTACCACACTATTTCAAGCTACCTTAATCTCCCAACTGGACTAGTAAAATTAGCTCTTACATGGTTTCCCCACTTTCCCTCTTGCCTCTATAATTCATTCTCCACGCAACAGTCAGAATCATCTTTTCAAACTGTAAATCATATCTTCTCAAAATGTAAATCACTCCTCTACTTAAACTTCTGCAATGGCTTCCTAATAAACTTAGAATAGAATCTTAACTCCTTATCATACCTATGTGGCTCACCTTCCTCTCCAGGCAGCATCAGTTTGCACCTCCCTCAGTCAATATCCACCAGCCATTCTGGTCCCTTTTCTGATCATCAAACACACCAAGTTCTTTCCTACCCAAGGCACTTTGCACTTGCCAGGCTTGGCTTGGCTGGCCCCACAAAATCATTCATGTCTCAGCTCAAATGTCAATTCCTCAAAGATCTTTTCTGAAATCTACTCTAATGTCTTCCCCATCCCCTACTTCCTACTACATTGTCTTGCTTTATCATCTTCATGGAATTTATCACGGTATAATATTATCTACTTTTCCTATTGATTACTCGTATTGTATACAGGCCACCATCTATACTGTAAGTCTGTGAGATCAGGGACTTGGTTTTTCTCACTAACTTCTATATCCTTCATACCGAGATGAGCATTTGGCACAAAGGAGGTACTCAGTAAATGTTTGTTGAATGAAATAAGAAAAGGATTAAGAAACAAGATATCTAAATTCCAGGATAACATGCCAAACATAGATGTTCCAAATGATGTGCAATCCACTCATTTTTCCAAATGTAGATAATTTCGTTCCTGGATCAAACTAGGTGTTGAAGACCTGCATACTTAGGCCACGGTGTTTTGATACTACCAATACCACATCCTCCATCCCCTCCTGTAAGCCCTCTAAACCCTCAAATAACATTCACTAGATAATCTATGACTAGGTGCTCAATTTTATTTGTAATAATTGAATAAACTTTAGGAATACTGAGGACATTAAGAATCACATAACCTTCTTTGACTTTTTTATTAAGATGCATGTGAGAGATTTCTTTTATATTTTTCTCCAAAAAGAAAAAATCTTAACCACTACTTAGTAAATGTATGCTTTTATCTCATATTTCCCTCTTTACCTAGCTTCCACAAAATTCAGAGAGGAATTTGTGGCCCATATTTTACAATCATGCAGGACTCCAATGCATGCATTTTTGTCTATTAACTTCTCAGACTATGATTTAAGCCTTATTTTCCTTCTTGATTTCTTTACCTTTATTTTTCAAGCTTTACTATGTTATTGTAAATAAAATAATCACAACCTTAATAAAAAGAGATATGATATAAATGATATACATGCTTACAAAAGCAAAGAATAAATTGTGTAAAATATTTTCTGCACTCTCATGTCATTTACCTATTCATTAACAAAATGGTAATAATTATTAATGATTATATTAGGAGTCAATTTGGTCCAAGTGGAGCTAGGACTTGGAAACCTAAATAACTCTGGAGAAGACCAGATTAGAACTTCCTAGAGGTATGAAAATAAAATCTGAAGTTTTTTCTGACACTGTTTCTCATTCTTTTTCCATTTAATGATGATGAAACAGGATATAAACAAAACCCAAATAACTTGATTATGGCGGTACAAGTCACACAGTATAATTTAATCCAGCAGGAACTGCTTCCTCATCCAAGATGGAACGTGATCGTGGCAGGGCAAACACCACCTGACATCAGTGATCCGCAGGAACCTGCCACGAAGCAAACTGAGGCAGCAATTGTTTACTGAGCTCTCCGCTGGATGCGCACTGAATGGCTTCATGGCCACTCTCTGTTAGATATGTCCAACAGGGATAAAATGTAACTTCAACATTTCTCAGCCTCCTTCTTTTGCCAATGACACTGAAAACAGGACTTACAGTTCTCCTATTTCAAATCCAAATTTCACATCCAAGCACTTCCTTCTCCTAATTGGAGTTCAAACTAGAATCTATTCTAAAAAGGCCCTAAAATAGTCTTTGCTCATTCTTAAAGAGATATCTGTGTACATAAACAGCAGACTCAGCCACAATGGAACTTACAATGGCAGGTACAAAATGATATTAAAGAACACCTGTAGATCTAGAGCAAGGTTTCCCAAACTCAGCACAACTGACATTTGGGGCAAGATAATTCCTTGTTGTTGGGGGCTGTCCTGTGCATTGTAGAATGTTCAGCGACATCCTGGCCTCTATCAACTATATCAGTAGCAGCCCAGTTCCCCAGTGTGACAACCAAAAATGTCTCAGACATTGCCAGGTGTCCCCTGGGGACAAAATCAAACCTGTGAGACCCACTGGTCTATAGTCCAATTTCTTAGATAAGCTAAAGCCAATTTCTTCATAAACTGCTTGTTCATGGGGACTCTACTCGGTAGCCCAAACTGAATAAATATGATTCACTCTTTCATAACCAAGTATATAATATTATGGTTCTGAATGAATTTATTACCACAGTGTGCTTTGAAGATGACCCCAAATCTCCATTCAAATATCTAGAAGAAGCACCATGCTAGAAGCAACCATTCAAATATCTACAAGAGACAACTCTTATCCCATGTCTTCAAAGGTGCACAACACACTAGTCTGATCTATCCATATCTCTAACTAGATACTTCTAGTATCTAGTTTAAGTTAGGTATGAAGAGAAATAGCTGATTCTTCAGCCTCTTATGAAGATTTTTAAAAAGATCATTTGATTTTTCTTCTCTGAAATGGAACCATTAGGCTCTGCTTGCATCTAAGCTTTATAAATAACGCAAGTTTCCTATAGCTTATTTTATTATAGAATACATTTTTAAGTTATTTCTCTGAGTGTCACTCAATTAACTTTAAAAATATAGCTTTACAATTCCAACCTTACTTTTATCTCAGCAACATACTAGTTTATAGTAAATAATCCCCTATAGTAGATTGTAACTTTTCATTTATGAATTTAAGGATTCCACTATTTTTTAAAAGTTTGTGCTTATTTATGAGGCATCCTCAGACTCATAACATAGGAATCTACTGCTCTAAGTTCTTCCCTTGGAAGATTATCAGATGTATGACAGAGCAACAGAAACCAATTAAAAATACACATACTTGCTCCAGTGAACTTTTCCTTCCAGCGTCTGCATCTCACCAAGGATGGCCAGGAGAAGAGAAGACTTCCCACATCCTACTTGGCCCACAATCATGGTTAACTGACCTAGAGAAACAAAACAAAGGATAATAACAGAATGAGATGGAATTCTCTTACTCAAATAAAATCAAAACCCTTTTAGAAAAGGCTAGTGCTTTATAATCAATGGCCCAGTTTTGGTCTCCAGCAATAAGGTATTCTATACAGCTCCTTTCCCTGATCCGTATGCCTTTTTGCAAAGGAAAAGAAAAATCAACATATGTAGGTCATAATTAATTTTTAATATTGTGAGAATGGCTAACATTAGTAAAGAAATCAAAGAAATAATTGCCTATTTCATCTAGATTAGTTCTAACTTTGTTATTCAGTTTATTCAGTAGTTTTGACTAAAATGATAATTGGAAGGAAAGTGATTTGGGCTAAGTTATTAAGACACTTTCTCCAACTTCTCACTTTGACTTGCATGTATAATAGAAAAATCCCAAGCTACTGATCATCAGGCCAGGTCAAAAAAATATTTCTATTCAATTATCCAGACATTGTAAATAAAACGTATTGAGTTTATTCCTAAATATTTTATTCTTTTTAATACTATTTTAAATGGTATTGTCTTCTTAATTTCCTTTTTGGATAGTTTGTTGTTAGTTTATAAATAATTAGGAATAAACTTAACCAAGGAGGTGAAAGGCCTGGACAGTGACTACTATAAGATATTAATGAAAAAAATTAAAGCAGACACAAATAAATAGAAAGACATTCTGTGTTCATGGATTGGAAGAACTGATATTGTTAAAATGTCTATAATACCCAAAGCAATCTACGAATTCACTGCAACCCCAAACAAAATCCCAGTGGTGGTTTTTACTGAAAAAACAATATTTTAATAGAAAAAACAATCCTAAAATTTATATGGAACCACAGTAGACCCTGAATAGTCAAAGCTTCTTGAAAAAGAACAAAGCTGGAGGCATCACACTTCTTGATTTCAAAATATATTACAAAATTACAGTAATCAAAACAGTACAGTACTGGCATAAATGCATATACATAGACCAATGGAACAGGACAGACAACCCAGAAATAAACACACACGTACATGGTCAACTGATCTTTGACAAGGGTGTCAAATCACACAATGGGGAAAGGACAGTCTCTTCAGCAAATTGTGCTGGGAAAACTGGATATCTACACAAAAAAGAATAAAACTGGACTTTTATATTACACCATACACAAAAACCAACCTGAAATGAATTAGACTTAAATGTCAGACCTGAAACTATAAAAATCCTTGAAGAAAACATAGGGGAAAACCTTCTTGACATTGACCTCAGCAATGATTTCTTGGATTTGACACCAAAAACATAGGCAACAAAACCAAAAATAGACAAGTAGGACCACATCAAGCTAAAAAACTCTGCACAGCAAAGGAAGCAATCAACGAAGTGAAAAGGCACCCTATGGAATGAGAGAAAGTATTTGTAAACCATCTATCTGATATGGGGTTAATATCCAAAATATACGAGAACCTTCTACAACTCAATAGCAAAAAAACCAAATAAACTAATTTTAAAATGGGCAAAGGACTCAAATAGATATTTCTCTGAAGAAGACATACAAATGGCCACCAGGTATATAAAAAGGTGCTCAGCATCACTAATCATCGGGGATTTAGAACAAAACTATAATGAGATATCACTTCACACCTGTCGGGATGGCAACTATAAAACAGACAAAGAAACAAAGGCAACAAGTGTTGGTGAGATTGTGGAGAAACTGGAACCCTTACATAGTTCCTGTGAATGTGGAATGGTACAGCCACTATGCGAAACAGTATGGAGGTTCCCGAAAAATTAAAAATAGAACTACCATGTGACCCAGCAAACCCACTTTTTGGGTATTTATACAGAAGAATTAAAATTTGAATCTCAAAGAGATATCTGCACCTCCATTTGCACTGCAGCATTATTGACAATAGCAAAGATATGAAAACAACCCAAATGTTCATTGACAGATGAATGGATAAACAAAATGTGGTATATACATGCAATAAAATACTATTCAGCCTGTAAAAAGAAGGGAATCTTGCCATTTGCAACAACATGGATGAACCTAGAGGACATTATGCTAAGTGAAATAAGCCAGACACAAAAGGACGAATACTGCATGATTCCACTTGTCTGAGGTATCTAAAATAGTCAGACTCATAGAAGCAGAAAATAGAATGTTGGTTGTCAGTGGCTGGGGGAAGGGGAAATGGGGAATTATTGCTCAATGGGCATAAAATTTTAGTTATGTAAGATAAATAAGTTCTAAGATCTGCTGTCCAAAATAGTACCTATAGTTAATAAAATGGTGTAGTGCATTTTAAAATGTGTTAAGAAGATAGATCTCATGTTAAGAGTTAGAAACAGAAAAGCACAAGAAAATTTGGGGAGGTGATATATATTTAGTACCTTGATTGTGGTGACAGTATCATGGCTCGATTACCTTGGAAAACTTTGGTTTTAAAAATGAACTACAAAAATGTGTAATAGATGACTCTTACCTGTTGGAATTTGAATATTTATATTGGATAACGTAGCTAAACCACTGCCCCATGAAAAGTATCCATTTGTGACCTAAAGAACAAAGATGTAGAAATTAAATTATATATGTGATATTAGAGAATAATTCCCATTAAAATAAATTTTCTTTTTAAAGTGTTGAAAAGCTTTCAACACAAGGTAAAACACACAGTGGTGAAATTCTAATTTAGAGTTATAACTATTTTGTGGTATAAATGAAAACAAAAAATAATGAAAATGAAAGGAAGGTTGTTCAGTTAGTGATATTATGAAGAATGCTAAAAATTACAGCAATTTTCTCTGAAAATTGGGGATTGCTGGATCATTTACATGTCAGTATTCTTTAAAAGCAACTGGCCCAAATGTTTTCCAATGAAACCTCTGCATTGATTATTTTCTCACTGCTAGACAAGTCCCAGAATCCTGGTCATGCAAAGCAAAGAACAGAAGTAATCACAAATTATTCCAACAAAATAACTTTGTTAGCTGAGGAGGAAGGTTCTGTAATAAGTGAGTTTCCTGAACTGTGTAGAATTACCTCTATTCATTGAAGTTAAAAGAAAGAGTAAAGGAGAGTGGGTAATAAAACACAGAAACGAAGCAACGTTTCTTGGTGGTATAAACACCAACCATCAGCAAAGATCACAACACTCTGTATTCATCCCAAGCAACCTATTTGCTTAACAGGCTTCAAGTGGACTCGATAGTTTTAACAATCCCCAAAATGGGAAATGAAAGGAGGTATAACAGAAACCCAAGAATTAGGAGGATCAAGTAGACAGATGAAGGGAGAGAAGGTGCCTGAAAAATCAGGGGAAACTAAAGATACACCTTGCTTATAAATTAATATTTTATTTCAAAACCACAAGTGATGAAATTTCTAAGTGCTTTATTGTTTAGGAATTTTGCAGAATGGATTGGTGATGTCCAAATTGTAAGTAAATACAGCACTCAAGTATAGTTCTTAGTAAAATGAACAACCTAAAGGGTGAAAAATTCTGCTTGAAAAAGCTAGATTGTGTTTCTTCGTGTAGGTTTTCTCTAGCTTATGAAATGTATGGCACAGCATTTAGCAATATCCATCATGCAGTTATGCATGAAATTAGTCATGGAAAGAGGGTAGTATGGAAGGGCTGAACGATTGATTGCTTTACAAATATTTGCTGAGCACCCACTCTGTGTGAGGCACGGTGTTAGGATTGGCGTAGGCTGCAAAGAAGGTATAATACATGCTCACTGCTCCCCTGGGGCATGCAGTCAGCTGAGTAAATAAACCATGGAAGGAAGGAAGGAAATAAAAGACAGTACGGGCTAAGTACCAACTAGAGGGGAGAGAGACGATAAGTGCCATAGCTGTTCAGAAAGGAAATCTATTATGTCTGGGATGAGTCAAAAACTTTTTGGAAGAGGAGGCCTTTCAGCTAGTTTTGGAAATTAGCTTTGAAAATATTGAATGTCGATGGAGGCATTTCTGGGTAAAGAACTACAGGGAGAATAGACTCGAGATCAGAAAACTATGAAATGTGTCGTGGGAAATCATGACTAGAGCGGCTGGGGCAGAAGTTTAAAACACTGTGGCTAAATGACAAATAACACTCAAAGAAATTATACCGTCTCAGAGGCTAAGGATCCCTTTTTGTCTTAGAGAAAGCAGGCAAGGAGGCTAAAGAGGTACAAAATTAGATGAGTTGGGAAAAGGGCCAGCATGAAATTCAGAGAAGACCCACATGCACCCTTGTATGTTTTCATTGAATTGGGAGCTAAGGTTATCTGCAGAAAAAGGACACTAAAGGAGAGATCGAAGGAGGTGAGAAGAGAGTGGTGACAGCTGAATAGCTACCGTAGGTTCGAAAAATACTGCTGATGAGAGGCACGTGAATAGGAGAGCCAGGAACTACTGAGGGTCAGCTGAGGTTGGAGATAATCAGTCTGTGGCTATGCAACCTGGACCATTGCATCGTTTTCTCCATAGTACTCGACAGCCTGGTTACAGATGTGTAGAGGGCACGAGGTTGGATTGCTACAGAATGGTAGTAAAGCACTGAGAGAAAAAGAAGGGGCTCAAGATATTGGAGGTTTCGATGAGGTAAAAAACTGACCGTGAAGGTGAATGCCTGAGAAAGCTAGGGGATTGGGATTTTGTTGTCAGTGAAGAGCTGGGATAATAAAGATTTCAGAGGAGGGGCAGTTCCAGGTGGTGACTAACTGTGAACACAGGTGAAGCTGTGCAAATGGAGTGACGATAGATTAACTGATTTCCAGGCTGGGACACTAAGGGTTTCTGGGCTGTGCACTTAGAAGGTTAAATCATGGGCATGTATGGCACATACTAAGGTAGGAAGATGGACTAGGAAACTGGTACTAACATCTTCATTGAAGGTCAGGAGTGATTTTGAGGTCCTCTGATAATAGATGTAAGAAGAGATGGAAAATGCCATAGCTTCACAAGGGTGGGAGGGGTAAGATAGGGCGTGCAAGCAGCAGGGAACAGCTAGAAGAGAGCAACGTCACCTCCTCATCCGGTGTTACACAGAAGCAAGAGAGAGAACCACCTCCACTCAGGAAAGAGGCAGGAGGACGGCTAATGTTCACTTCTCCCGCTGCAATGTACACTTTCATCTCCTCTTGCCTTTTACAAAATGCACTCATTTCTCCACCAGCAGGGTTAAAATCCTGGCTTCCCTAACTAGCTGTTTGAGCTTGGAATATCTGCTCTTATATAAATACTTTTTTGCATAGGTTCGTATAAGGATAGGTACAATGATGATCATCATAGCCAGGTTTGTGACAGATTAAGGTAAGTTCAGCATCCATCACTAGCAGTAAGTAGAATGCAGGGATATGTACTACTATTCTGCAGTATGAATACAGTGTTCTACAGAGTACAGGGGTGCAGTTAGAAGGAGCAAGCTATCATGAAAAACGTTAAGTTGAAAGCATATAAATGCTTATGACAACCCTACATATTTTACAAGGATATGAGCATGTTTAAGCACATATGTCAAGCATATTAGAGCTGGTACCATAATGTCAGGGATGGGGGTGTGGGGATGGGGTGGGGTAGATAGAAATGAGGATCAGGGATACAAAGAAAGAATGAATTAAAATTTAAAGGCAGGAGCTTGACAGACACAAAAACTCATCTTTTGTATAATTCCATTTATATCAAATATCCAGAAAAAATCCATAGAGACAGAATGCAAATTGGTTGTTGCCAGGAGCAAGGAGCAGGTGGAAATGGGGAGCAACTGTTTAATGGGTATGGGGTTTCCTTTTGGGGGTGATGAAAATGTTTTGGAATAAGGTAGAGGTGGTGGTTACACAACATGGTGAATGTACTAAATGCCACCAAATTGTTCACTTTAAAAATGGTTAATTCTATGATTCACAAAAATTTATGCTTCACAAAAATTTGTGAAATTCACTAATTTTACCTCAAAAATTTTTTTTTAAAGTTTAAAGGCAGGGCCTTAAACAGACCATTGTCCATTTCTTACTGCTTAAAATAAGTAAAAATGTTGAATAAAATATAGTTTGTAAAATACCTCATTAAAACAAGGAGTAAGGAAATACCGGGTCAAAATATAAGGAAAAATATGAATTCAAAGATGTGAGCCCCAGAGCACCTAAGCCTCTTTCCCCCAAAGGGCCAAGTATAAGTAAGAAGGAAAACAACAAGGTATAAGAATTTGTTCCAAAAGATACCAAAATTTATTAGAAAGCTATAATAATTATGACGTTGGAATACCAAACAGACAGATAAACCAGAGAAAAATAAATGAAGGCCAGCAATGGATCCACACATATATAGATTCTTGGTGTTGTAACTAAGATCACACTGAAGATCAGCAGAACAGTGCTCAAAAATGGGGCTGGGGCAAAGAGGAATCATTTAAAAAAATAAATAAATCAGGCCTTACTTAATACTAAGTGTAATAAAATGACATTCACTAAAATTTACTGCTGATAAATTTACAATATACTAATAAATTATTTATTACTGATTTACCTACTAAATCACATCCCTACTTCATACTAAACACAAAAATTGACTCTCAATGGATTAAAGAACTAAGAGGGAAAAGTGTAGCTTCAAAGCTTTTGGGAGCTAATATAGAATATCTTCACGGCCTCTGGATAGGAAAAGTTTTCTTAAATAAGACAAAAAAACCCCAAAGCATTAACCGTAAAGGAAAAGCTATACAAACTAGACTACATTAAAATTGAGAAATACTATTCACTAAAAAGATACCACAGAGTGAAAAGTCAAGCTAAAAAGTGGGAGAAGAATTTTGCAACATATATAACTGCCAATAAGGTAGTATCCAGAATTTTTTAAAAGAGAAGGACAAATAAAGAAGAAATCCAAACCCAAATGACATATATATATAAAGGTGCTTGACCTCATTAGTAATCACAAAACAATGCAAATAAATACCACAGCAAGATACAATTGCATCTCCTCCCAGCACATAATAATTGGCAAAAAAATTAGAGGCATTGATGAAGATGTGGAGCAATTGGAACTCTCAGTCACTACTGATGGAAGTGTAAATTGGCACAATCATTTTGGAAAAGTTTGCCACTATTAAGAAGGATAGAGAAGCTGAGGATGAGGATTGCTCATAGTTGAGCATGCGCATACCCTATAACTCATCAATTGTTTACAATAGCCCCAAACTAAAAAATACCCTTAAGGCCCTCAAAAGTAGAACAGATAAATTCAGGTGCAGTCATACAATGGAACACAATGCCGCAAGGAGAATGAATGAATTATCGCTACACACAACAGCATGGGTGAAGTGTGCACACACACAATGCTGGGCAGGAAAAAAAAAAATACACTTACACCCATATTTAAACTTAAAAAAAACTAAACTAGAAATATGTTTTTAGCGAGGCAAGCATAGCAAGGACACTGAAGGAAATGATGTCTATAAAAGTGATGTGAGGGGAGAGGTGTGAGAGAGCAGCAAATGTTTATGTTGGTGCATTTTCTGAGGGAGCTGGCAACATCTCTACTTTTCTGTAGTACGTTGTATTTTACAATAAAAATATTTCTAAAAGATAAGTGAGTTATTACCAATCTGGGAGTTTTTACCATAAATAAAAAATTAACTTGGGCTTAAAGGTGACCTTGAAGTGGACATTCAGAGGTACAGCAAACTCTAGGTCATTAATAAGCACCTTGATTTTGTTTTTCTGTGAGTTTTTGTGTGTGTGTGTGTGTGTGTGTGTGTGTGTGCATGAAGGGTCCATTTTGGAAGAAAAATAATAACTTCTCTTTTTTACTTGAGTAAAAATGAAAGTAAATTTAATAAGGCACACAGAAAAGACCTATTTTTAGATTCCTACTATATGGAACCGAAAATGCCAATAACAAAAAAAAAGCTGGCCCTGTTGTTTTAGTCACTAATGTATTAGGTGCTGTCTGGGCATATTTGAAAAGCAAAATCATAGAGGACCTTTCTTTTTTTTTTTTTGTCTTTTTCGTGACTGGTAAGGGGATTGCAATCCTTGGTGTGGTGTCGCCCGCACCGCACTCAGCCAGTGAGCTCACCAGCCATTCCTATATAGGATCCGAACCTGCGGTGGGAGTGTCGCTGCGCTCCCAGCACCGCACTCTCCCGAGTGCGCCACGGGGCCGGCCCATAGAGGACCTTTCTAATCTCTCTCATTCCTTATCTTTTCATAGCCTACTAGTTCACACCCATTATAATCGCCTAGGGAACTACTCAAACTATTTTTTTAAATGATGTCCAGGTTTTAATATTTAAAGCCTTCTAGGTGATTCCAATGTACAGCTAAAGTTAAGAATTACTAGAGTTCTCTTTAAAATTCACAAGTGACATATCATTCTGTCCTCAAAACAACCATGCTGAAATGGCATGTCCACCTCAAGATGAGCAAACTGTGGCTCAGAGAGGCAGAGTACTTTGTCCAAAAATCACACATCAAATCAATGCAGAGGTAGGGTTAGCACTAGGTTATTCTGTCCGATAACACACTCACTCCAGTCGTGGAGCACCTGTTTGGTACAGGTACTGTGTCGGGTAACAAGGAGAGAAAAGAATTACACATAGCGCTTGGCTCTACCATACACCCCACACTGAGCCTCCCTCTCTCTCTCCAATTGGCCTGGGCAGTGCAGGGGACTTGGACGGCCTGGGGCAGCCAATGTAGCTAGTTTTCTAAAAGGGTTTGTTTCCAGGACTCTGGAGGCTTCGATGTCCAAAGGCCCTGGACTGCTGCAGGCATCTGTTCTAGTGCCTGCTCAGCGCTGATCCCCCAGCCTGTGTTCCTGTGGCTGCCTGTTCCACCTAAGCACACACAGCCTAGGAGAGTACAAAGGGCTGAGTTTGAAACGAGATCAAAGGCAGCATTGGGAAGGTGGGTGAATGCACGCAACACTGGTCTGAGCCTCTCCTGGCTGAAGATAGTTACTGTCTCATTGATTCTCTTAAAAATGGGATTTATAATATTGGCGTTCGCTATATATCAATTTACTTGGTAGATAAAGGTAAGAGACCAGAGGAAATATGTTGGATACAAGCTCCTAACGCAGATTCAGAAGAAAGGCTCATTCTGCAGTTACCAGAACGTACTGCTGCAGCAAAACACAGGGCTGGGAGGTGAGGAAGAGCTGAGAGTTAGAAACTCATCAGAATGTTTTTAAAAATGTTAAGATTAGTGACCACTGTAAAGAGGCTTTAAAGACACAATTTAGGGCACTTTTGCAGAACTTCATCATAAAGTAGTAACATAAATGTTTCTATTCATGTAAGGATCCAGGAAATAAAATAACCTTTATTGCAATATCCTCTGTCTCTGCGGGACGCAGACGTCGTGTTGATTGCTCATAGCTGTCCAGGTGATATCTTCCAGGCTGCTTCCTGTTTATAGTTTTTGGCTGCTGCATTCCAAACGGAAAAGAACACAAGTTGAAGCTTTATGAGAAAATTGAGGTTTGACTGAACATTAACTCAGACTGCTACTTCTCCACTTAAATTCCAAGAAAAAGAAACAAGTAAAGTGAATGTCATATGTTAATTATTTTAATGGCTTCTCCAAAAAAAACAGCAAATAATGAAAAAATGTTAAGCTGTAATTTTAAACCCAATTCACATGCATCTTAAGAAAAATGAAAATATGATATTTGCAAATAATAAAAGTTAAAATGCTGAGTCTAAACTAGATTTTGGATATTCTTTCTCCAGCAATATGGGTGAATCTACCCAGACAATAAAAAATTGTGTGTCATGTCAAAAGACGGTGAAATTAACTCAGGTGAAACTCGAATCCACTTGTTAGGCTGTTACAGTATATTACTGATCATCGTCTGGGTCATGAGGATTTAAATCCGACACATTCACATAAATTGGATTGAACTACACATTACACAGGATCTGTTGTAGATTGACAAAAGCATAAAGATCTAGGATTTTTGCCCAAAGATATATAGCTTCCTAAGGATCCATATGTATTACAGAGTGACTAGTCTGCCTCTGATGTTATGGTGCTCCCCCTCATCAATGGACTAAAGCAACCATTATAAAAAGGATGCCAGCTGAGGTGCAACCGTCTTCACATATTTAAAGTGAACTTCAGTTAGATCATAACTAGAAATTTGTCATTCTCTAATTTTGAGTTTAATTTCACATTGAGATAAGTGGCTAAGGAGATGGTAGAAAATTTAGCTTGTAAACCTCTAATTTGAAAAAATAGATAAGCTCAAAATTTGTTCCAGGAATCTAACGAGCAAGTATTTCAACATAAATAATTATCTATCTTACTTAAATACTTTATAGAGATTATGAAGGCTAACTAGCAATATATTTCAAAACTCTTAAATTACTTAGAATAGCAAAGGACTCTAGAATTGTGAATTTTTTTTTTTTTTTTTTTTGGCCTGGAATTATAGGTTTGGCTTTTTAAAAAATCCATTGAGTTCTATTATGGAAATTCAAAATGTCCATGAATAATCAGTAATTCAATGCAAATAAGATATTGCACTTCCAATTACCATCAACTGATGCATCAGCAGAACATCAAACTACTAGGCTACATGCAAATAAACAGATTGTAAAGCCACTGAGAAGACTGAAAGTAAAGTACTAGTAGAGGTTCTATCACACAGAAAGTACTAAACACCTTTTAACTTAAGAGAAAAGGAGAAAGAGATAATGAATTTTTATTTCAGTTTTGTTTTTTCTTCCCTCAGGCCTCACAGATAACCCTGAAAGCACACTGTATAAGATGCTGCAGAAAGCCACTACCCGTTAGGCTAAGTATATTCTCCACACAAAACAGGTCTATACCTGTATATAAACCCCACTTCTTCTAGAGTCTTTAACTCTATAGTAGTATTGCCCCCAGAGGTCCAAAAGGAATGACTTCATGCTCTTCACAAAACTAAGGAGAGGGTGGGAAGAGGGTATGTGTTGACAGAGACTTGAGTCGGAGTTCCACAGATGTAATTTGAAGAGACTTTGGCTCTAGAATGTCCCTAATTCTCAGTGGAGATTCTACAGCCAAAACCACTTAAGTCTAAGCTTTTACAGAATACATTGTATCTTAAGCGCTCTCAAGAAGGAGTTTCCATTAGTGTTATTTTCGAACACACAGATTTTTTCACTCCATTTTAGAAAGTTTGTCGTTTGTGGCTTGGCCCATCCATCAGCAGTGATGAATGGCCCTGAAAGACATCCGAAGTCCAGTCTGGTTTCAATAATCCTGAAGATATTGGATGCATTTGAAGGCGATTCTTTTTTCCTTCCAAAAGCCTTTTCTCAGTTCAATTTTTCTTCTATCCCTCATCTCATACAAAAAACTCTTCAGACTTCCCTTACTCCATGAACTTGACCTCCTATCTCTCCATTTTTGAGGTCATCTCACTCTGCTCATGGCACATCTCTGAAAGACGATCTAATGAGTTCTTTGATAGTCTAGGATCACCAAAAGTGTGACAAGGCTGGTTCTAATCACAGATTTGACTTGGCTGCTGCCTAAAAGTATAGATACTCGTTAATGTATTTTTGTCTTTATGTCCATGTCCACACAATAGCAAACAAGCATTCGAGACATTGTTCCTCCACTGTATGTAAGCGTGGCTAGTAGCTCCTTCTCAGACAAAATCACACCTGCTCAATAAAACAACTTAACAAAAAGAAAAAATATAACTCCAGAGAAGTCGAAGAAAATAGTAATAGTCTAAATATGGTCAAGTGCTTGTCTCAACTCTTTTTAGCAGTTTTAAACATGATGTGAAGAAAAATTTAATATAGATTGACTTCCTAATAAAGGCTTTTCAAGTCCCAATCAATCCCAGTCAGGAGACTGTCCCTGTGCATTTGTGTTGGGTCACATAAATGGTAAATACATTCCTATTTTTCTCTAGTAGTAACTTGAATAATGAATATTAATTTATAGCATGACTCATTTTGGAACAACACCTTTCCACTTTACTGTTATAAAATATACATATTCATTTTAAAGAATTTCTTCAGAAATGTTTAGACGCACCCTTCAAGAAAGTGGTATAGTCCAGTCTCATGGCTTTAATTATCTAATGGCTAATGACTTTTAAATTTGCATCTCCAATGCTCCTGTCTCTCCTTGAATTAAGGAAGTTTCTCAAAATTATCACATGCAAAATGCACCTCTTGATTCCACCTCAACACCAGGCTCCTCCTTTCTGAGCTTCCCTATTTTAGTTAATGGCTACACTACCTACCCAGCAGTCAAATTAATAACCCATAATTTGTCTTTGTGTCCTCTTTGTCCCTCATGTCTTCCATGAGCTCACCCTCAAAAAGGTATTCCGATTTCATCATCTCTTCACAATGTCCACTGCAATCGCAACAAAAACCCAAACACCTGATTTAACCATCATCATCTTTTGCCTATGTTAGTATAATGACCTCTTTACCGATCTGCCTGTTCCCATTGAATTCTCTACACAATAACCAAAGTGCTCTTTGAAAAATGTAGACAAAATTATATTAGTCCCTACATTAAAACCTTCCAGTGGTTTATTACATGTCAGTAAATTCAAATTCTTTCTATGGTCTGCAAAACCCTCAATCATTGTTCTTACCTCGTCTCATCTTTCCCTTCTTCACCAGGCTCCAACTATAGTGTCCTTGAATACACTAAATTAAATTCCCGCCTCAGGGTTTTTGATTCTGCTTGTTGTCCTGCCTGGAATCCTCTTTGCCCAGATCTTTGCAGGACAGGTATGTACATTTTCATTCTGGTCTCAGTTCAAATGCTGGCTCTTCAGAGGGGCCTTCTCAGAAATGACCACTCGACTTCAAGTATCTCGTTCACTCTCTCATACCCTCTTTTATTCATTTAGCATCTGACTCCTGCCTCAAGAATGCAAATTCTGTGACAGGAAGGATCTCATGTGCTTCATTCATAGCTACATCCCTCTGTCTTGGAACGAAGTACAGGGTACCCAATTAAGACTGGAAACACAGGCAAATACTAATAAATGGCTTATTCATATTACATGTAATACATGACGAAATAATACTGACTATGTTTCCAGACTTTGTGTCACGTATGCATGAACTGGTCTACAAGTTACAAGACAGGTTTTAATTCTGGCTCTGCGCCTTACTAATCTTATGACTTTATTCAACCCATACAATATGCAAACTCAATATATTCAGTTGGAAAATAAAACACCCATACTAAACCACCCATTCTGTAGAGACCGTCCCCTATTCACAGCTTCCATAACAAGAAAAAGCACTTACAACTCCGGTGTGTTTCTTACAGGACTCAAAAGGAAGAGAACCTTCACCAGTTCGCCAACTGTCGTCACCAATCTCATCACTCAAGAGAAACTCATTCAGCTTTTGAACACTGCAAAAGGCAACCAAACACAGAATAAAGGTTCACAGTAAAACCACCACCAATAAAGTACTACCTGAAAAAACAAACTTGCCCCCACTCATTAACATGGTGGGTGGACACCTCTGAGAGTCATTTCTCAAGACCAACATGGGACTTTTAGTGCTAAAACCAGAAAAACCTCAGTAAACCAGTACCGTTGGCCACCCTAAATTCAGTGGAACTTCCTCTGTTTTGTTTTTTTGCAAGTATATTCTTTGGTGAAGATAGTGGAATTGGATAGGAACTTGGAGCAGAATGGTTAATAATAATAGTAAAGAGAAGTACCCTTAATATTCTAATGTTACAAATGAGGGAAGTGAGGTACAGAGAAGTTATGTAACCTGCCTACAACCATGTAGCATATAATATGTGGGTCTGGGGCCCCGACCACTGTACCATCCTGCTTAAGCACTTGATAGCTTTATATTACACATATTTTCCAAACCTGGCAAGGAGAGGGCCCTCAAGAATCTTGCTACTCAAAGTGTCGGCCAAGGACCAGCAGCCTGAGCATCACCTGGGAGCTTATTCGACACAGAGAATCTCAGGTCCCAACCACAAATATGAATCAAGATATGCATTTTAACACTATCCAGAGGTGCTTCATAAGCATATCACAGCTTGAGAGGCCCTGCTCTATAAGAGTGGTTTGCAAACATTGTTTCCTGTGGTCTCCTTAGGCTGGCCTCACAACACTCCTTGGGACCTGCCCTTCCTATTTTCATTTTCTCAAACCAATATCATAGAATCAGGAGCAAAAATAAATAAATAAAAGAAAGAAAACAATAACATGGTTTGAAACATCCTCCTATAAATAAACTAGTACCCTAAAGGAAATTCTGTGAGGTTGCAAAGTGAAAGAAATGCTCCTTATAGCATGCTAGGAGGCTGAAAGTGGACAAACTTGCTGGGAACGAGCAGCATCAACTACAGGGAAAGTACTGCCTTTGATAGGAAATTAGAAAATACATATTCAAAATAAAAAGTTGGGTTTTTTTATAAAAATTGTGTTTGACCTTGTGAATCAAGTTCGGTGCCTCTAGATAGGTCTTCCAACTTTGCTTTGGTGACAAGTTAATAAAATGAAGAAAAGTAAATTTAATTCAGTCTGTTGCCCATGATTTTTAAGCCCTTTGTCTTTGCATGCCATAAAAACACAGGGGTAGATAAAATCCATTGGGTTTATTTGCTTTGAAGTTGCACTCACAGGGAACTAAAAGAGAATTGTTTAAGAAGAGCATTAATTTGTATACTCTTGTTGAGTCTTTGTCAGCAAAGTCTGAGTTTATAGGCTTGAAAGACATAGTTAGAAATGACTTATTTAATAACATTTTATTCACCTTAATAGCAGTTATTCCTTCTTTATTTTTATCGATCATAATTGCTATTCCATTCTTAAGTTTTGAAGAGATTTGATTTCAAGGAGCACAGCTTTGTCAATCAAAGGAATACCTTTAAATTCATCGCACACACTGTCTCTGCACTCAAGGGAAAGTGCAGAGCTAGGCTCGTTTGCTTTTGCAACTCCAAGTCTAGCAGCGCCTGGCACACATTGTTTGACGAAAATTTGTTAAATAAATTAAAGAGGGAATAAACCAATGATTCAGACATTTAAGTAGAGTCGATTGATTCAATTCTCCATTTCACTTCTCTAGTATACACACAAACCTTACTTTTTTGGAATAAATGAGCCCTACTCTTGCTGAACATCAGGAAGCAATGACCCCTGAGCTTAATTGGGGGTAGAGAGAAGTTTCTCTCCTCTTCACAACATCCCACTTTGAAACTCCAGTTACAAGGAACATCAATGGACCCCAGTACTAACCCTCCTCTGAATTTTTCCCTTTCCTTCCCCTACCCTGTCCCGATCATCCTAGGCTCTCTGGCGCTATTTTGTCACTGCTTCACTATAAGCCTATCTCTCCCACTAGACTGTGAACTCCTTAACAGCAAAGATTTTCATCTCCAGAATCTAGCCCATTTCCTAAAATATAGCACAGTAATTCCTTAAGAAATACCTGGTCAATGAATAAATGTGTAATACCCAAAGCTTTTCCTACTCATATGTGGTCCTTTCAGAAATCACAGAGAGAAAACAATTATGGAAAATGCATGAATCCTTTCCAAGGGTGAAGTAATTTCCACCACGCTGCCAGAATTATATTCTAGAAATGCAAACCTGTCCACGTAACAGTGCTCTTCTTAAAATAACAAATGGCACCCCTTGGCCTTTCAGCATCTTTCGCATCATCTAAAAGCTGATCAGGATTCTACTCTCCACCTTCATCCCCTCATACTTTTTGCATCAGAACCTCTTCTCCAATGCACAGAATTATTTTTAGTCCCTTGAGTAGACCAAGATTTCTCCCATACTCACTCGCCCCTTCCCCTTGCATATATTTTCTCTTTTTCTCCAACTGGCCAAGTCTTATTGTTTAAGATTCTATGAAGGAGTCACTGAGTCCTTTAAACCTTCACCAACCAGACAGTGCCCCTACTCTCTCAATAAGCTTCGCTGATTCTCATATACGAGCCCATGACATTCTGTGTATAGCTTTATAACAGCATAGCACATCACTTTGTAATGAGTGCCCCCACCCCCAGTCTCCCCAAGTAGACTGTGGACTTCTTAAGGATTTCTTTGCCTTTCGTCTTTGCAATCCCTAATGCCTAGCAATGTACCTGAATCACGAATACATGGATGTAGATTCACAGAAGATGCTCTGAGGCATGCAGTGGAGATGAGTAAAATGGTGGTAAATCAGTAATATGGAGATTTGTAACATACCTAAAATATTTCAAGAATGTGCTGGCACTTTTTATGTATCATCTCATTTAATTTTCTCAACCACCATAAGCAGGTGAAATTATACTCATTTGACAAGTGAGGAAGCTGAGCTCTAGAGATACTAAATAACATGCTTGAGGTTGAACAATGAATGTCTCATGGCGGTGCCAGGATTTGAAGGCGGGTATATTTGACACCAATCAATTTTCTATCCTGCCTCCACTACCCTTATAATCCAGTATTTTCATAATTTCTCATTTGTTTAGATTATTCACAAAAGCATTTAAAATTTTGGCTACACATGTTATTTTCCTCTCAAATTTCACTTTGGGTGTTTAGACACAGGTGGAGTACCTTGGACAGATGCTGCATTAATTGGGAATAACTGATTTTTGTAGCTGGCAGTCACATTTTTTTGTAGGAATTATGAAATTTTGTAAACTGAAATACAGAGACCAGGCCAAATCATAAGCATGTGCCATGATAAATATCAGTAACAATTTATTTGACTGAAGATAATGCAGTAGACTAGTCAAGCATACGTTCCTTTGGGAGGTACACGAGAGAAAGGACACATATTTCTCAACGAAGTCAGGGATTTGTTCTATACTTTTTTCCCTTAGCAAATAACATCTTTGGACATAGACACTGCATTATACATCAAAAACCAAAAACCTAAATTCAAATTATTTATAAAGAATATAACATATTCTCCTCCAGAAAAGCAAAACACATAAATTATTTCCTTCCAAATAAAGCAAAGTGGAGAAGTAAGGCAAGCATTTTGAAAAAAAAAATCACTCTTATCCAAGTATTTTAATATTTTAGATAATACTGACTTTTCTTCATTCTGTTTTGCAAATGTAGAGTAGAACACTTCACCACAAAATGTCCAGAAAACTCAAAGGGTTTGGGATGTAAGGGGTTGTAAGGAGACAATCCGAGTCGTAACTGCTCCTTTCTTCCATTCTGTGATGTATACACATGGTCCCACCTGCTGAATGCCACAAAGACAACTTTGGCTAAGAGGCTAAACCTTTTTAAAAGAATGCATACTATTTTTGGGGGACAGAGAATTTTACACGGCATGGAATTTTCCTCTTGTAGAGGAGTTCACAGGTCTCTTACGTCACGTAAAACACACGTTTGGGAGTATACTTTGCCCCATTCTAACCCACCAGATTTCTGAATGCATTTAAAAGGGCAGCGAAGAAATTATGATTTCCACAGTCCTGAAGAGGAGGTTTCAAAATTAACTGACCAAAGTCTCCGATTATAAACAGGCTGCTCAACTTACTGTGGGCCAACTGGCATCAAAGACTGGTCATGAGTTCCCAGGCACAGAAAAAATTGCCACAAGTCCAGTCAATACTGGGAAAATGCTCACTTGGGTTCCCAGAACCAGTGCACAGTGGGGAAAAGGATCGGCCTCCTCTGCTGACCTGCCATTTCTGTAGGACCCGCAAAGCAACCACTGAAACTGAAGCAAGATTAGAGAAGCAAGTTTTTACGAGCAGATTCTATTTGGCCTATGGCTTGGGAAATCTGGAGCTGAGCCCTGAAAACAGACTGGTCTTTATCAAGCTGGCAAATGCCTTTTCCCTGAGATGTACAGGAGGGAGCGTGCTGTGCAGAAATGTACAGAGGATGTCCACCCTCAACTGTACTAGGATTCGCTACTGCAGAATTGTGTACTATGGATGCTTTTATGATTTCTTTTCAAATCAACTCTTAAAGTCCTTTTGATGTTTGGTAGCCCCCTGATTTCAGAGGAGTTATCAATTACTTTATCATCTACTTTCTAGTTCCACTTGTAACACAAAGTAAAATTCCACCTAACAGCACAACCATGAAATGGACAGTTGTTAAATGGAGAAAATGAAAATAAGGACCAAAATAGCAGACTCTGGCCATTTATCAATTTTATTGTTTGAAGTAGCTTCCCTTCCAGAGCACTGCCTAATTTGGAAGTGGTGCTACAAAAAGCAGTCAGTGATCTGCACAAGTGTTTCAGAAGACAGAACAATAAGAAAAGAAAATGAAGGCAGATAAGGCCACAGGGCCTAAGCTTTAACCTCTAACAGTTCCAGAATTGGTTATTAATGACATACATTAGAGAATAAGATTGAAACTATGTTAGGATGCTATCATATTCTGTCAAAACTTGGTTTATAATAAGATAATTTATATGCATTTTAATGTTATTTGGTATCAAGCCACTGTTAGGCCAATGTAAACTGGTGCCTAAAGCTGGAGATCGTGGTATTTTTGAACATTAAACACTAGTTTTCTTAGTAATACGTAGACATCAGGAAGATTATCTCATTTTAATAGACCTTATGAGATGTTCTGCATTGCTGTCAAAAACAGCATCACACTTCATACATTTAAGGCCTCAATTTTCTAATTTTCCTTCATTACTAGAATATCTTGACATTTTTTTGAAGGCCAGATAAAAGTATGACAATGGCTGTTTATGAAACATGCCAAGCTTTTATAAGGTTTATAAAGATCATACAGCAAAAAGCAAAATACTCCTTTAAGACTTGTTTCTAATAGAGGATAGGACATGGTAGAGTATAACATATACGATGTAGTATAATATAGTTTGGTAACATATTTACATAAATGTAAGTGAATAAGGTAGGGAAATGGTCATTACCACATGACACCTATTTTTATAGCTGTATATTATGGCAAATTATAAGCGAGATAAAGTCTACACTGGTTGAAAACACTATCAAAGTATATTTAAATGAGCACAATACAAACAGTTTTACAGTTTTTTTCATTTTCAGAGACTATAAACCTGGATTTTTTGGTCTGATCAAACTAAAATTAAGGGCCGGCCCCATGGCGCACTCGGGAGAGTGCGGCGCTGGGAGCGCAGCGACACTCCCGCCGCGGGTTCGGATCCTATATAGGACTGGCCGGTGCGCTCACTGGCTGAGCGTGGTGCGGGCGACACCACACCAAGGGTTGCGATCCCCTTACCGGTCACGAAAAAGACAAAAAAAAAAAACAAACTAAAATTAAAACAGTTGATGTAAACATTCTGTGTCATTATTGGTACAAATATAAACTGGCACAATTTTAATGGAAAACATTATGGCCATATTCACAAAAAAGTCTTAAAATTGTGTATAGCGTTTGACCTACCACCACTTCAGTAGAAAGCAACATAACCCTATTCATCAGGGACCTTAAAGATATGAATAGCATTAGAACTAGTATTCTCACTTCTGGAAATTTGACCTAAGAAAATCACCAAAGTTCAAAAATAAATAAAGATCTTTACCTCAATGTTATTTATGTTATGGAGGAAACAGAAACATTCTAAATGTACAATTAAGAGGTAATTACTGATTAAATTAGAATACTTTCAAACAATGGAATATCACATAGCTAGTAAACATCATGTAATATAAGACTTTAATGAGAGGAAAATAATAAAAACAATAAGTGAAATAAGGAGTCAAAAGTTACATAAATTCAAAATTTTTATTATAAAATAATTATTTTTATACGAAATAATTAAAAGACTGAAAGGTAGCATACCAAACTTTTAACAATGATTATCTCTGGGCAGTGATTTTAATGTTCTTTATACTTTTTCAAATTTACTACCATGAGCATACATTATTTCTTTAATAAATAAGCAAAGAATTCCGGATATTTCAGGGCCTACCTTATGATGGCTTTGACTGCAAATCTGACCACTGTGGAGAGCAGGAACAGTGGTGTGACCAGGATATGAAAGAGAGACAGTGAAGCAAAGGCCTCGGCAGGTTTCAGATTGTTCCCGCTGGCATATGCGTGGGTTACAAACGTCTGTGCGAAGTAAGGATTGCTTTAGAGAAAGCTGGAGAAAGTTTCACACGTGCTTACATTCAATTTTACAAACTAACATATTCTGCTATGCCAATATGTCTATTGCAACCATGAGAACAATTACTTTATCCAAAACTCCTTAACTTAAACAATACTTGCTATTGGTGAGTACTCAATGGTTTCCATGTTGTGCTAATGGTTAACTTGTGAGAAAGTCAGGACAGATTCTATTTACAGACTAAGAAACCTGACCTCTGTCAAGTTACTGAGCAGGGGGATTAACTGAGTGGAGAACTCACGTTCTTAACAACCAGTCAAGATCTTTCCAACCAGTGCTAAATACCCTAAGAGAAAAGAGAACATTCTGTTGTTTCAGGGTCCCTATTGTGGATCTTTACTAAATCTCTCAGCACTGGTGTCCAATGAAGAACTATCTACATTTCTAAAAACAATATTTGTTGCTGGGATTGTCATTTTAGTGTAAAATATAATGTAATTATTTAACATTTTCTGGTTGTTGATCTAGCACCACTTTGTTATAAGAATGTCTGGGAACCAGGTCATCGAGATTAGAACAGTTAGTTCTCAACCACTGTTAATTTTGTTTGCCAGGGGACATTTGGCAATGTCTGGGGATATTTTTGATTTTTATGACTGGGGGTGCTACTGGCATCTAGGCAGTAGAAGCCAGGGATGCTGCTAAACACCCTAATGCAGGGGACAGCCCTCTATAACAATGAATTATCTGGATCAAAATGCCCAGTGTCGCAACTGAGAAACCCTGGATTAGAACCATTGCAACGGGAGACTGCAACGAGGGAAGCAGCTGCAGTGAGGTAATATATATTACTACCCATACATTCTTGTTCATAAATTACTTATATCACTGACTTCATTCTACTTCTAGAAGCAAGAAGAAGTGTCTTACAGCAAGCACGGCTGCTATGGGAATTGCTGCGTTCATGAAGACTATGGAAAGAAATAAAATACATTAGTTTCATTGAACTGTAAAAACATCTTCAGTAACTTTAATTAATCATATATTATTACTTTAACTTTCCTTGAAAACAGGAAGGACAAAGTGGATTAAATAACATTTCGCCTGGGGTCCATAAACACTCCCCAGTTGATATTCCTTGTCTGCAGTTCTATGAGCTCCCACACATTAATCTTAACCAGAAATTGTTTTCATTCATGGGGAAATTATTTTTTCTTATGAAACGTTACAAACAATACAATTCAGATAAAATAACCATTTAATGATGCAAATTATTAGAACTTAACAAATGTGCATTCTTGAGAGGATTTATAGTTTATATTTTGTTTGGTCCACTAGATTAGTTTAAAAATATGAAAATTGGGTTATTATACAGATTAAAAACAAGAATTTGATATTACTTCAAGTTCTCTTTCCAGCAGTATATTAATTTTCACTTATAGACCTTTCAGCTAATAAATAATTCCATATCCTGGGCCTTCTGTTTGTTTAAATTTCTCTCCAGGAGTGTATTTCGCTATCATTTGATGAGTGTGATATGCATAGCTGAAACAAGGAACACTCATATTTTAGGCTAAAATATTAGAGTTTGGAAGTCATAGTAAAAACAAAACCCAAATTGATGATTTACAGTTATATTGTTCATAAACCATAAAATTTTATGAATTTTACGAATTTTGGAACCAAGGGCCCAAAAGATTAAGTGAATTGTTGGTGACAGAGCCAGGCAATGGCAGTGAGCGCTAGAACCTAGTTTTCCTGACAGTACAGGAACCCCATTTAAAAAATCGTCTCCTTCACGAACAGTCCCTCCCACTGTACTTAAAATAGAATGAGATTGTGCAGGTTCAGACGTGACTTGCTTATCAAATACACGTTCTTGTACAGTACTGAGAATCCAAAGTGAGTGTGAAAACAGCATAGAAGAGGAGGTTCTGCCCCGGTCTTCTTTCTCTAGCTACTGTCCTCCTGTTTTCGAAGTGTATTTTGTTCTTTCACCCTCATCATTGTTTATCATTAATTTGCTTTCTGCATCTTTAACTAATCTCCTCTTAAGGAAGAAAGAGAACAACTACTGCCATTTTATTAAAAATGATCCATAAATCAATCTGCATCAGTACAGGTAGCAGTTACTCTTACTACCCCATTATAAAGATGAGAATGACAAGCTCAAGGCCGCACAGCTGGGTGCAAACCCAGGCGGTCTGGCTCCTCAGTCTGTGCTCGGCACCACTCTGTTTTGCTGCTACTCAACAACGCACGGTTATTGAGGTCAGACATTAGCATTTTCCATACATCCTCATCTTTAATGATTGCAATAACCTACACAATAAGGAGGAAATAGTTTAAAGGGTAACATGCAAGAATCCAAACTAGGTGATAGAAATTGGATTACAACCAAAAGCCTCACGTCCTGTCTAATTCTTCACATAAATCTCTGTCAAGGTGAAGAAAGAAAATAAAAGTGTCTTGCCTTTACCAGTGAATTAAACCCACAAACAGCATATGACCATTTGACAATGGAGACTAGAAATTGTTTAACAGAATTTCTTTTCCCCTCAAATATCATCTCAAGTCGTAAGAATGCTGATTCATAAAAGTAGAAATGGATCTTTAGTTCTACTAGTATTTGTTCTGTTTAACATTGCTTTTTAATATTTGCAGATACTATTGAGTACTTTTACATTTCTTGTGCTTTTCTAAACACTTTACATATATTACCTTATTTAATTTCCCAAGGTACTATTAATACATCCCTGTTTACTGACCAGGAAACTAAGGCTTCACCAAGCAACTCAAAAAAGTTGTACAACTGACAAGTTGCTGAGCCAGGATTTCATCTCAGGTCAGCTTGCCCTCTAAGACCCAAGAATAACTACTGTCCTATACAGTTGATTTTTTTTTTCTTTTTCTTTTTCTCTTTTTTCTTTTTCGATTTTTGCATGGTGCTCTACAAATATTATTCATAAAATATTTTAACATTTACTAAGCTGTATCACATTCACTGTCTCATTGGACTCTTACAACATAACGTGAAAAAGGTATTGTTATTACACCAATTTTTAGATAAGAAAATGGAGGGACAGAGGTTATAGAGCACTAGATCATTTACCATGTGTTTTAAGCATTTGACAAGGTGCCCACAATAGAGTGTGCACCCAATAAACATTTCTATCATTCATTATCCACTTTAATCTTCATTATGATTCTGCATGGTAGATATTATTATTATCCCATGTTACTGATAAGGAAACTGAGGCTAGGAGGGTTTAAGGAACTTGCTCAAGGCCACACCACAACAAAGTGGCAGAGCCAGGATTTACAGCCAGCTCTGTTCAGCTCACATAGTCCAAGCCCTTAGCCATTAAGAACACTGTACTTAACCAGTCATTCAACAAAGTGGTCCAACTGGTATTTTACTCCATTGACTCAAGAATTCCTGCCTCACATGAACATACAGTCACGCATTTTCACCTGCATGACTTCTTATCAATCTCCCCTAGTACTGCCTCCTCTGCCCTCTCTCCTGTGATACCTGACTTTCAAAATACCAACCCAATTTTCAGTTCTGGAGAAAGACCGTCTGGGTTAACATCTCACTCCCACCATTTAATAGCTGGGTGATTTGGATGAAGTTCAAGTTACTTAAAGCTCTTTATACCTCAATCTTTGAATTTCTAAAGTGGAGTTTATTATAGAATCTAAATCACTGGGTTGCTGTGAGGATTAAATAAGATGATCTACGTAAAGCCACTTAGGGCAATAATTGGCTCAGTAAACTCTCAATCTATTTTGTTGTTGACGTTATTATTTTTATAATATTATTTATGGCTGGTTCCATCCTCCCCATGAGAGTTACAGCCCACTGCAGAAAAGGATATCTTAAAGAGGCCACCAGCTTAAAGGACTATTACATAAGCTAGCTGATCTCTATCATTCTGTCTTGTAGCATTTTGACACCATATCACAGTGGTACACAGCTGGAAAATGAAACTCTTTCCAATTTCATTTCTAATGCATCAAGCATTAGGGCTGGACTAAATGGTCTATATAAGCCAAATATTTCACTAAATCTATTTCACAAAAGAAGTGTTTATAATCTCTAAGATCTAAAGTAGTTTATAATTTAAGAGGAAAGAATACATAAACCTCCAAAACTTTACGTTGTTAAAGGTCTTGGGAACAATAGAGATGAGCAAAACTGACACACAAATCACAGATTACTGGGAACAGTTTGGCTCAGGTCATGTAAATTGTACTAACATAAACACATTATTCTTGAGAGTACATAGTGTCACACTTGGAGAAAAAAAAAAACAAAAATTAGATTTGAGGATAAAAGTGCTCCACAGCTAAAAATCTTCAAATGTATTGGAAAAGAGGGTTGTATGTCAGTGTGGTTTGGGTTCTTTCATCTGAAACTAATATTTTTTTCTCCTCGATTTTCAAAAGTGGCATTTCAAGTACAATCTTCAAGAAAATGTAATATCATAAGCTTCCAAAAAGACAGGTAAAAAAACCTGCAGATAATTTTAAAGGATCTTTGGGAATAGAAGATCAATAGTAATGCAGTCAAATCCATTTAAATAAACAAATTTTTTTACAGAAAAACAACTACCCATCCCAATTGTAACTGATAAGAGGGGTTTCAATTACAGGTGCTACCATCATCACTGTCTTCATTTTACAAATGAAGAAACCAAGGATTTCAGTTTGTAAAGTACACAGGGCAAGGGCACACATCTTACAAGGAATCAAACTCAGGTCTGCTTGACTCTAAACCTGTACTTACGCTGGTCATTCATTTAAATGTAAACAGCCTCATGTGGCTGGTGGCTATTGGATGGCTCATGTCTAGAAATAGATGGGCTTCCCTGAATGACTACAATGCTTCACTGATCACATTCTACACTGAATAGACTGCGTTTTTTCATTGCTCTTAACATCACCTGTTCTTAGAGCAACAAGAACTTACTGGAGAGTGATGTATAAAGTGCAAAGGTTTTGAGACTGGATAGTTCTTTCATTCTTGTTTCCTCCACGCTTTTGCAGAAAATGTGCTCCCAGGCATACAACTTTAGAAGTTTGATGCCTTTCAATATTTCATTTGTTTTCTTCAGTCTCTCAGTGGAATAATCCTATAAAACAAAGGAATAAAAAAAAATAATGCAGGCTGCATCCAAGTAAATCAGAAAGGCAGGATCATGTAATGAACAGGGATTGAAAAGATATTGGTTTCTAATAATTAGTCTGTGAAATTTTCAGGAGAAGTAGCTAAACTCTGTGCTTCAATCTCCTCCATTTAAAATGAAGAGTTTAATGAGATGTCCTCAAAATTTCTTTCCACCTAAAAATTTGTGTCTCTGTTTGTTGCTTTGGTTTACGTAAAAGCAGTTTCTTCAGTTTCACATATTTCCTGCAGATACTTCATTTTCTGCAGATAATATAGACATAAATTTAAAGAAATGATAAAAAGATTTCCAATGGCTCTTTCTAATATCCAAATCATTTTATTCTCCCGTCAACAATATCACTCATATTTAGAAGAAGAAAAACAATGAATTTTAAAAAGCCCGTTTGCTTCTTAGCTGGGAATGTGAGGGGACAGCGTTAGGTACAATCACATTACATCTTCACAGAACAGTGATTGAAACCAAGCCTATTATCTTTAACTTCAAGAGATTTCTATGTACTTCTTTGTAAGCTCTTGTCTAAGCCTAAATTAGATTTACTGATTATTAGCAACTTGGGTTAACTGTAGAAAGATTTGTAGCAGATACAAAAGCCTCAATGTAGTCAGCTGTTTTAGCTTCTTCTACCACCAAATATTATATTAGAATTAGTAGCACGGTAAAATATGACCTGTTAACTATCAAAGGGGTACCTGAGTGATCAAAGGGCAGATAGGGGAAAACAAAAGTAGCAAATGGCCCGTTTTTTTGGTTCATCTTTTTGTCTCTACAGGGTCTGACATGCCTACCAAATGACTGTTAAATGAGTGAATAAATATGGTATGAATGGCTAAAGGAAAGAAAGATGTTTGAGGACAGCCATCCTCTGCTGATACCCCTCTTCCACACCTTTCTGTATTTGTGTGCTGGAGTAAAAAGGGTAGACATCTCAGACAGAAATAATAAGTAACCTCATCAGAAGCAGCAGGAAAATAAGTGATAAAAACCACTAGCGTGACACACAACTTGCTTGTCACAATGGAAACACCAACTTCAGCAACAATTCCATTAGTGGAAGCATCTCTACATTTCATGCCTGATTTACAGACAGCCTTGCTCATATTTAATCAAACTTTATCTAAACATGCTGTCAACAATTTTATTATTTGCAAATACTTCTTTAAAAGAAGCCAATTCTTGCTCAAATAAAATGATTTCATGGCAAATTGAAGACAGAAAGGGTCAAAAATTGGGCTTTTTCTTGCTTGCCAAGTCAACCATGAACATATTCAGACACAGCAGCTGTCAATGAAATACTTCAATGTGACTCCATAGGCCATCACGTGGTCTGAATCTACCCTAGGGAAATTTAATTTCAGAAGCACCTAACCTGACATTCACATGCCGCTGGATCCATTTCTTTCATGTCAATAACTGACATCCAGTGGTCTCAAAGTACACTTAAGAGTATTCTTTAGACAAGCGACTTAAGAAGAAGATCCAAAGCCCCATCACTTTATGGCACTTAAAAACCTCATTCGTTTTTATAGCTGAGTAGTATTCCATTGTGTAGATATACCACATTTTCCGTATCCACTCATCCGATGACACATACACACACACACACTCACACAAAAACAAACAAACAGCAACAACAACAACAACAACAAAAAACCGGGGGGGGAGAGGAAGATTTAACAACCTCAACTTTTTTTTTTTTTTTGAAGCTCTTACAAGGAGAAAATGGAGGGGACACATCTGGGTGGGAGGGGGGAGAGGGAGGAGGGAGGGAGGCTTTGGTGATGGGACACAATAACTAACTACATTGTATATTGACAAAATAAAAAAAATAAAATAAAATAAAAAAATAAAAATAAAAAATTAAAAAAATAAAAATAAAAAACCTCAGGAATTGTGATTCTGGTATTTTGAGTCTCAGATCAAGTCCTAAATTTTTAATCCACTTTAAAAAATTGTTTTTGCAACACAGAAAATATATATTTTCTGCCTAATAATTAAAATGAAATAGAATGATTTCCAAATTATCCTGAGTGGTATGCTTTAATTTCCTGTATTACAAAAATAAAACAACACTACTAGATTTTCCTAATAAAGTTTCCAAGAGATGTTACTTACGAGAGTGCTCTTCTGAGCTTCTGCCAACTTCGTAGCGATGAAGTACTGAATTGGCGCAAGGAGCACAATGACAGCTGCACCAACCAATGCACTTGATCCAAGTAAATTATAGAGCAGAATCACTCCCATTATGATCTAGGAAGAAAAACACATGGAAAGGGAAATCGAATGGGGGTGTGAGAGCCACTGCATGAAAGGAAATAGTTTTTAGTAAAAATGTGCTATTTCTTAATTATTAAATTAAGTTTATTTTAAAGTCAACTCAACCATGACAGCTGGGTTTTAGTATGATTTATTTGGGGAAGGCTAGTAATAGGGCTTTATTTTTAGTATGATGACCAGTGCAACTGGTGCCAAACCAATTTATTGCATGAAGTTGCAGTGTGGTCCCATGATTCGTCCAACTTTCTAAGGTAGTCTTCAAATTTTTAAAAGGACATAAAACTTTTCTGAAAAATGCTGTCACCCACCATAAATTTGACAGTCTATATTCTTTTGGAATTCCACTAGCTTTTCGAGGCTGGGAGGATGGAAGGCAGGGGCAACATTATAATGTGAGCACAGGTTGGTTACGTGTGGACTAAAGGAATGATGCTCCTCACCTTAACGACCCCAGAAGTCACTTCATGACAAGAAGCCTAAGCCTAACTAAAACCGTCAAGAAGCTAAAGCCGGTCCTCCATATCACCTCACTTCCCCTTTTAAAATTTATTTCCCAAAACTCAAGGCTGAACGGTTTAGGGCTTCCCTTTCTGGTTTGCCACTTTCTTCTCCTTCCTTTAAATACTCAGGATTTGACTCTGCTACATCTCTTCCTGAAAATTTTTTTCCAGGAGCTCAAATTATCATGACTCAAATGTCAACTAATGAACTGTACCTATATAGTTCAAGCATATAATGTATGCCAAGATGCCAATGACAACAGTTTAATAGTAGCTTTCCAGGCACAAGGACACATGTTTACTACCCAACCAATTAGGCAGTTTAGGCATTCCAAAACAGAAATTTCCTCAAGGTCACCTGGGATGCAGTCATTCAGTGGCAGCCTGGGATTCTCAGTGCACTGTAAGTATACCACATAGGCAGCTACCTAATTCACCTGTGTTTAAGTACATTTTGACAAAGTAAGACAAAACATATCTTAAATCTTACTTTGAGCCAAGCACTATGGATAATACGTACTTTCATTTGACATGGATTTCCATTAAAAAATGAAAAGGCAAACAATAAATTAAAAATCTAGCATATCTTTACTATTTTATGCACTTCAATAACTATGGCGCATAGGGACATAGGTGATAGACTGCATCGAATGAGATCTACAGTTTAAACTCCATCTACAGGACACATAACTTGAGATAATTAAAAATATCCAGTACCACAGTGAGAAAAAAACAGAATACATTTCTTTTGCCATCTTACCCAATGGGGAAATAAAACACGTGTCTTTATTAAAATGCTATTTTATGTAGGAAATAACTAAATAGCCCTTCAGCTTGTCAGTGTTCCTACCACCTTATAAAGTTAAACATTTTGTAATATACTAGCTATTGAAACTGTGGGATGGATTAAAACAATTGCTCTAATTTAAAAATGCTAGAAGAGAGTTTACCAAAATGAAAACGTTTAAACCTTGGCTCTGTGACTTGCATGAATTTGGGCAATACTACCTAACAATTACTGAGTGCTCATGAAATGTTCTTACTCAATTTTGATGATTCCCACAACTCTATGAGGCAGATACTATCATTATTCCTATTTTACAGTGAAAGAAACTGATCTTTGAGGGGTTAAGCACTTGTGTAAAAGAGGGTTAGAGCAGATATTTGCACCCAAGCAGCATAATTCCAAACCCCACTTTCTTAACCTATGCAGAACATTTCCAAATCTCAGCTTCCTTGTCTATAAAAAGGGTACAACTACATTAGCACATTCAAAAAATATAAACTTTACTGAACTCCCTTTGCTTTATTTCCTCTGCAAACAAGAATCTTATATGTATTCATCTACCTGAACAGGCATAGCCCATAGATTGGGACACAGGAACAAGAACCACATGAGTTGATTGGTTTCAATGGCAACCAAGTTGTTGATCTGTCCCAGGGTCATCTCACCCATGGATAAGTTAGACGTAGACAGCCTAAGAATTTTATTGTATATCATGGCCTGCAAGGGAAAAAAAAAAAAATGTACTTAAAGCTCTAAACCTAAAATCAGCACTATGATTACTTATTTTCATTGAAAAAAAATAACGAACATTTTAAAACTTTTTGGAAAAAAGGTAAAAAAAAAAAACCCTATAAGGCCATCTTCTTAAATCAACTACTATTTCCATTTTAGCATAGTTACTTTCAGTCCTCAATGAAATACAAACTTATTTTTTTCTAGCGATGTAATCAAAATATATATTCAACTTAAATATAAGCTCTGGAACAATTGGAAATAGAGATAAGTGGATGAAAGATTTTAAAATATTTTTCTTAATATATTATTTTTAAGTTATTTTTAATCTAATGGGTTTATGAATTAGATCTACTGTGTTTCACTAAGTATATCCTAGAAATGGTGTTGATGTAATATTAAAGTGAAAATGAAATGAAAACGCAAAACTGAAGCTACTACTATTCCTATCCCTGGATGGTATGTGGTGTTTTCAAGAAACAAAGATCATTCAAAGCCTGTACATACCAGCAGAGCTCCGCGGAGGTTAATGCCAGTCTCTATGGTTACATAGTAGGAAGCCTGCAAAAAAGTTCTTTGCAGAATAAGAGCCAAGAAGAGAAGAACTGCTAGAACATAAGCATTTTCAAGAAATTCCTTTGATGAGAGGGTTTCTGAAATCTTGTCCCAAAAGAAAGAAAGAGACAAATTAAAACTAGTCTTTTCATATATCAGGTGTGGTTTGCGTTTCTTAAAGAGTACATGATTTTTAAATATAAAACTCGACATCTTTGCAATACAATAGTGGAATGACCTATAAGCAAAACAATTTTGGCTTTTCCCCATAATGTCCGCAGGTACAAATATAAAACCAGTTAAATGCCTAAAATCATAAATTGATTATTAACATTGCTGAAAATGCCCAATTGTAGAAAAAAAGTAAATTTTAATTTTAAAAAAATTATGCATTTCCTGAAAAGATATATTCTACCTTAATTAAATGGGAAGTAGTAAAAAAAAAAAAAACCCCACAAAACTGATAGCTGGCCAGCAAGACCAAAGACCAATGGAACAAAAATACAATTTCTGAAGCCTTATTAGTTTGAAATAATTCTACATAGTTGACTTTTCTGATTTTCATATATCTTAATTTATATTGATGGAATAAATTACAAATTATAAAATAGGTAATTTGGCTACTGACTGTACCCACGTGACACTCTGCAACTTCTAAGATATGAGGTTACTTCAAAAAGTTCATGGAAAAATGGAATTAAAAGAGAATACAAAACTTTCCATGAACTTTTTGAAGATCCTTTGTATTGTTTTAGTAGGGATAGTGACTGAATTAGTCATAAGAATATATAAATTTATTGATTTTTGTTTATAACATTAGCATATGGTAACATTGTTTGTTAGAAGAGAGAAAAAGATAACACTTAACTATTATGTCAAGTTGGACATTTGTTGTTTTTTCTTATAATTTAGACCTAGTAAAATTCTCCTTCTTTCATGGGGATATATATGAATATGCAAGTCCTGTTCCTTTTTAGAAAAGCACATGAATAATATGTGTAAGGGAGGAGAATAATAGAAGCACACTAGGTAGAATTTAGCTATTTGTATGTAATCAAATTAGTAGAAACAAAACATCCCCAAAGTGTATCCAATGTTAGTAGGAACAAAACATCCCCAAAGTGTATCCAATGGTGAGAATATCTGGTTCACCTCAATAATAATTGAACACTAAAGTGTGCAAGGATCTGAGCTAAGCATTGTGGGCACAAGTATAAACAGTTCACACTCACATTGTTTTAATGAGCTTACAACCTGGAAAGATAAGCATATCCATAAACAGGACAGTTTTTCTAAGACTCCATTATTATTTTTAGTTGTCAAAAGAGGACACAAAATTCTTAAGGCCTAATTCATTTTAATTCCTTTTGATTTGGAAAATGTATATATGTCATGAAAATTACCAAATTAATATTGTATGGAAAAGAAAATAGTACAGTACAAAGATCAAGGTTATTAACTGACTGGTCGTGATTTCTGGAGTTACCAGACCTCAAGAGATATACCTATCAAATTACTACAAGCTAAACAAAACAGATCATCCCAACTTCAAGTTGGTTTTCCTCTAGGTATTTCCCATCTCCATGAATGGTAGACAATAATTTTTAAATTATGGTAGAGTTGTGTCTCCTAGGTATTCCTCAAATAAATGCAAACTGAAGAATAGCATATTCCATTGTGGCAAGGAAACCAACTCAATGACATAAAGGTCAAATGTACTTCATATTTAATTTCCTGTTAAAATGAATAATTTAATTATGTTCTAAAGTTTACTGATAAAAGACCTTAACACACCAAATTCAAGCTGATCCCAATAATTTTTAAATTATGGTAGAGTTGTGTCTCCTAGGTATTCCTCAAATAAATGCAAACTGAAGAATGGCATATTCCATTGTGGCAAGGAAACCAACTCAATGACATAAAGGTCAAATGTACTTCATATTTAATTTCCTGTTAAAATGAACAATTTAATTATGTTCTAAAGTTTACTGATAAAAGACCTTAACACACCAAATTCAAGCTGATCTCTGTTGTGAAGAGCATGCAGAAAACTTTAGGGTATATTGTAAATCTTTACTTTTAGCAGAGAAGTTTGAAAAATATTATGCAATACTTTTCTCAGAGGTGAAACCAGAGAAATGACTCAGATTCATTTATAGTAACCATTTCCTGCAATATTAATTTCATAACACACATTTATGACACAACACAGAGGTCATTTTCACCATTTACCATAAATGCTTTGTTGATCTTGATTTAGAACAGACAAAAATTCTTTAACTGATTCACCATACCCTATTCTCTTCCATTGTTGTTGTGAATACTAATATTTTTAATTGCCCTAATATTTGTACATGATTGCAATATAAAACATCTGTCACTATGGACAGCACTCTTGACTATTCAGAATGATAACTAGACAAACTGAAAATATTCCAAAACTTTGCTCTTTAAAAATTTTAAAGCAATTGTCAATACTCAAAGAAAGTACTAGAGGAACCAATTTTAGAAAACATATGAGATAATACATGGAGTAGGTACATGGCACCCCTTAATTTGATTTAATCTCCCAAATTTGACCCACAGAATCCAAATTTTAGTCAATAATTTAAGAATTAAGAATTTCAATTTCTTAAAAGTGGTTATTAATGAATATGATCTATTTTACATGTATAATACAATTATTCACATGATGCTTGAGAAAAGACAATAAAAATTCCATGAATTATTAATATTGTATGGTAACACGGATTAGTCATACATGATCATTGAACTTAATTCTTACTTTCCACTTGGCGACATGTCCCGGAGAAAAGACCATGTTCTCTCTAGCCTTACTCATGTATTGACTGGGCAACTAACCCAACATAGCTATAATCCATTGGCTCTTCGGGTCTTTTCTCAGTGGCCCAATTAACATGGCTCAAAACTACTGGGGAAGATAGATGCAGGAAATCTGCTCTTACTTAACTATAGATATTATTTAAGCTTTGTACCTTTATATTTAATAGGCTTATTCTCCACAATTATGGACATGGAAAACAGGTACTAAATTACCTTTTGTTCTTCATATGCATCTTTCAGGCAAACATAATTTGTTACTGCCCTCATTGCTATTGGCAACTTTCCAATTGCCTTTAAATCAATAGGCTTTTTATGAGCAGATATGATAAGTGTGTTCATCCACCAGTATGTTGCTTTTGACAGTAAATTCACAAACGGCTGAAGAAATCTCACACCCAGATCTTGGAGGTCTTCAGGAGGCTTTACTTTCTGGGGATTCATGAAGAACACATATCTCTGTGACAAGAAAAATTCCACAGTATTAGCCCACTTTTTTCCCATGTATTAAAAATAAAATTTCAACCTTTTCTACATTTCCATTTCAGGTGGACAAAATTTATATTTTAATGCCTCCTTCCACTCCTTTCAGAAATAGTCTTCAAAAATATTTCTCTTTTGTTGTGACTAGATTAACTACTTAAATGACAGAATTTCACATTTAATCCGCTTGGGGTCATTCCAAAAAATCAATTAACCTTTTAAAAGATTGCTGTTATTAAGAACCAGTTTTTCATGATATCCTGTGATAGGGTCAACTAAGTGAAGATTTTTACATTTTTTAGATTTTAAAATACGTTATCGACACCATTGTTGAGCCACTCTATTGATTTGTGGTCTGGGTGATGTTAACTGATTGTTCCCCACATTTGTTGCAGCATATATCTTTCCATTCATAGAGCAAATTCAAAGTTCTTTGATAGAAAATGAATACTGAAAAATCAGTCATTAGTATCTCACACAACACATCTGACAGCATTATGTGGTAGGAAGTACAAAAGATTTGTAATTACAGATCAGCTATGGGTCTTGACCATATTACATTGGATACACAGTTAAAGTTATCTCTACAGAAGTCTCTTCATCCATGAAATGATCCAAGTGGATTAGATGACCTTTTTAGTTCTAAATTTCTGGGAATGCCATATTTTGCTTAACCAAATATGCTTTGGACCAATCATGGTTAATGGAACTTCCTGCCAAAAACAATTTCTTCAGTAATAAGAATTGAGCATAATGTTTGACACATAGCAGGCACTTGATCCACCAATATGCATGAATGAATGAATAGATTCTATGGTCATACTAAGATTTCTGAAATGTTAACTGCCTGAAGCTTAGTGATGAGTTCAACTTTACATTTACACATATAGATCAAATACATTTGTTCATTCTCTTGAATGCTGATGATTCCTGGATGACTATAATCTTTAATATTGGGGCCTTGAATACAAGTACTAACCAGAAACTAATCATTAGATACCTACCCTGACCCGAATGACATTGACCTCCACAGCCATCAGGAGCCCATTCAAGATGACCATCATGCCTGTGATGCAGAAACGCAGGTCTGATACTCCCCAACCAGACTGCCAGTACTTAACCAATTTTATTGTCTTTGTAATAAAGGCCATCACCCAATACAGGAACAAGGCTGGAAAAATAAAAGGAAAAGAGAAAAAGATGCATCCTTTCCCTGGTATTTTCTTAAACTTCACTAACATTTCAATATAAATCCTCATATAGTACTTTTTAATAACAAAGGCAATTTTAAGTATGCTATTTCCACATAGTTTTAATTGATAAAAAAAGAACATATGCGTTTTAGTGTACTTGTGGAATTTTGAATTGAAAATGTGATAATAACTTAAAAATGTTGAGTGCTTCTGCTCTACTCATATGTGATAGATGGGAAGATGTAAGGAGACATGTAAATCAGAATAATCTCTTCAGAATTTATGGGCAATTCTGCTGATTTTAAAAGTGGCTTTATCTTCTGGTCTTGTTTTTTAAGAGCCCTGATTATATGAAGAATTCACAAGCTGGTATCTGTGTAATCCATCCAATGGGTTGGTGTGTTGCAGCTCCCGGGGGTATGTCTGATGGTATTACTTAGGAGTTATTATGGAATTCACGTAGCTATGTAATAGGGGTTCTGCTTTATAGATCAGCATTCAAGTACTAAGTGACTCTTCAAACCCAAATGGTTTAAAACACCACACCCATCCACAGAGCACAGTGATACTACAGACCAAACACAGACTCAAGTAGTCAGGTCAGGAAGGCAGGGATCTACACAGTCTCATAACCACCGCCAGCACTTTGAAGCAAATATGAGATGGTAGCAGAGACTTTTCTAGAAATCTGTTGGCAACGATTCAGTGTACTTTGTACTTTGAATAAAAGTCAGTACAAATGATTATGGCATAAGAAAGAAGAAACTGAAAGCACAAAATCCTGTTTGGACAACACTTATCAGAGCCAGAAAGGTTAAGGATGATCACAACTATTTTTAGTCAAAAATAACTGAACATTGGCATGTGAATGAACATATATCTTATTTTAGCTTATGAAACAGAAATGATCAGAATGGATAAAGGAAAAAAATGGACCAAATCATATGTTACTTAGAGAGATTCACCTTAAATATTAGAAACAGTAGATTGAATATAAGCAGATGGTAAAAGATATACAATGAAAATAGTAGCATAAAAAAAACAGAGTGGCTATATTATTATCAAACAAAGTAGACTTCAAGACAAAGAGTATTGTTAGAAATAAAGAAGACTTTTAGAACAGCTGACATCCCCTGCCTGACAGAAGGCAGGAGCATGCCCAAGGACCACAGCCTCTGCCCCTGCTGCAAACACCATTTCTGAACAGTGGTCTACCAAAGCCATAGCCAATGCAGCCACAAAGGTGGCCTGCCACCAAAGCACAGCCACAGCCACTGTGCAGGCAGCCCACTGACTGCTCAACTGCATTGACACAAGGAGAGTCACCAGCAGTGTCTTTAAAAAGAGGAGGAAGTCTCTCTCCTCAAATCCCACTCCAGAGTAAGAGAAGAAGCAACTGCTCTACCAGATGACCAGACACCAACATAAAGATACTACAAATACAAAAAAACAAGAAAATATGACACCACCAAAGGAATACAGTAATCCTCAAGTACCAGACCCCATAGAGCAGGAAATACTTGAAATGACTGAAAAGGAATTCTAAGCAACAATCTTAAGGAACCTCAAGGAGACAGTAGAGGACTCAGTTAGACAATACAATGAAATGATGAAAAGTATTCAGGATATAAAAGAAGAAACTTACAAAGAGATTAATACCTTAAAAATGAATGTAGCATAACTCCTGGAACTGAAGAATTCATTTAATGAAATAAAAAACACAATTGAGAGCTTAAGCAGCAGGTTAGAGCAAGGAGAAGAAAGAATTGCTGATCTTGAAAATGGTCTTTTTGAAATAACCCAGACAGATTAAAAAAAAAAAAAAAAAAGAAAAGAAATTAAAAAATAAAGAAAATCTGAGAGAGATAGCAGAAACCCTTAAGCACACAAATATCTGAATCATGGGTATTCCAGAAGGAGAAGAGAAAGAAAAAGGCATTGAAAACATATTCAATGGAATAATAACAAAAAGCTACTCAGGTAGAGGGAGAGACACACAGCTTCAGATCCAAGAAGCTCAAAGATCCCCAATCAGACTCAATCCAAAAAGATTCTTTCCAAGACACATTATAGTCAAACTGGCAAAGCTCAAAGACAAAAAGAGAATCTTAAAAACAGCAAGAGAAAAGCATCAAGTCACCTAAAAGGGAGTCCCCATCAGACTAACAGCAGACTTCTCAACAGAAATTCTACAGGCCAGAAGAGAGTGGGATGATGTATTCAAAATACCAAAAGAAAAATACTGCCAGCTAAGAATACTATACCCGGTAAGGCTATGCTTCAGTAATGAGGGAGAAATAGTGTATTACCCAATCAAATAAAAACTATGGGAGTTCACCACCATGCAACCAGTCTTACAAGAAATTCTCAAGGGAGTCCAGCATCTAGAATCCAAAAAATGATAATCACTACCATTAATACACAAGAAAGAACAAAACCCACTGGCAGAATAAAAATGCAAGTGAGAAAGAGAAAGAAAATAAATCTTACCACCTTAAAAAACCAACAAACATTGAAGACAAACAATAAAAGGAGAAGGAAGGAACAAAAGATATTTAAAACATCCAAAGGAAACATCAACAAAATGCCAGGAATAAGACAATACCTTTGAATAACAGCCCTAAATGTAAATGGATTAACCTTCCAGTCAAAAGACAGACTGATTGGATTAAAAAGCTAGACCCAAATATGTGCTTCTTCAAGAGACTCACCTCACCCATAAAGACTCACACAGACTAATAATGAAAGGATAAAAAAAAAGATATACCACACAAAGGGAAACCAAAATGAGCAGGAATAGCTATTCTTACAGTGGATAAATTAGACTTTAAACCAAAAAACATAAAAAGAGACAAAGAAGTCCACTATATAATGATAAAGGTATCTATCCAGCAAGAAGACATAACAATCATAAATACATATGAACCCAGCACTGGAGCACCCAGATATACAAAGCAAACACTATTAGACCTAAAGAAAGAGATAGACCTCAATTTGATAATAGTTGGGGATCTGAACACCCATCTCTCAGCATCGGACAGATCATCTTGGCAACAAATCAATAGGCAGGATTTAAACTACACTTTAGATGAACTGGGACCTGGGATATCTACAGAACATTTCATCCAACAACTACAGAACATACATTCTTCTCATCAGCACATGGAACACTCTCCAGGACAGATCCATGTTAGGTCACAAATCAAGTCTCAACAAATTTTTAAAAATTGAAATCATTTCAAGTATCTTTTCAGACTAAAATGGATTAAAAGTAGAAATCAGTAACAAGCCAAACTTTAGAAACTATACAAATAAGTGGAAATTAAACAACATGCTAATGAATGACCTATGGGTCCAAAAAAAAAAAAAAAAAAAAAATTAAACAGGAAATCAAAAAATTTCCTGGAAGCAGTGAAAATATACACACATCATACCAAACCTATAGGATACTGCAAAAGCAGTACTATGAGGGAGGTTTATTGCAATATATACATATACCTATATCAAAAGAATAGAAAGATTTCAGATAAACAATGTAATGCTACACCTCAAAGAACTAGAAATAAGAACAATCCAATCCCAAAATTAGTAAATGGAAAGATATAATTAAGATCAGAGCAGAACTAAATGAAACAGAGACTCTAAAAACTATCCAATAGTTCAATGAAACAAAAATGTTGGTTTTTTTTTTTTTTTTTTTTGAGAAGATCAACAAAGTAGACAAACCATTAGTTAGGCTAACTAAAAAAAGAAAAGAAAAGACCCAAATAACAAAAAATTAAAAAGAAGACATTGCAACTGATACAACAGGGATACAAAAATCATTAGAGACTATTATGAACAACTATATGCCAACAAATTTGAAAACCTGGAGGAAACTGATAAATTTCTGGACATATACAAACTGCCAAGACTGAACTAATAAGAAATAAAAAACCTGAAGAGACCAACATGCAATGAGATAGAAGCAGTAATCAACATTCTCTCAACAAAAAAAAGCCCAGGACAAGATAGCTTACTGTTGAATTCTACCAAACCTATAAAAAGAAATTAATACCAATTCTCTTCAAACTATTCCAAAAAATTGAAACAGAGGCCATGCTCCCAAACTCATTCTATGAGGTCAGCATCAACCTGATACCAAAATGAGAGAAAGACACAACAAAAAAAGAAAACTACTGGCCAATATCTCTGATGAACATAGATGCAAAAATCCTCAACAAAATATTAGCAATCAGAATACATCAAAAAAATTATACACCATGATCAAGTGGGATTCATCCCAGGGATACAGGATGGTTCACCATGTGCAAGTCAGTAAATGTGGAGTCAACATGTGCAAGTCACCACGTCAATCAAATCAAGGACAAAAACCATATAATTATCTATCTCAATACACGTAGAAAAAACATTTGACAAAATTCAACATCCCTTCATGATTAAGACTCTCAGAAAATTACGTATAGAAGAAAAATATCTCAACAAAATAAAAGCCTTCTATGGCAAACCCACCACCAATATCATCCACAATGGGGAAGAGCTGAAATTCTTTCCCTTAAGAACAGGAACAATACAAGGATGCCAATAGTACTACTATTGGAAGTACTAGCTGGAGCATTCAGGCAAGAGAAAGAAATAAAGGGCAACCAGATTGAAAAGGTGAAGTGAAACTGTTCTTGCTTGCAGATGACATGATCCTATTTATAGAAAAACATAAAGACTCTACCAAAAAACTCACAGAGCTAATAAATGATTTCAGTAAATGGCAGGATACAAAATCAACAAGCAAAAATCAGTAGCATTTTAATACTCCAATAACAAAACAGCAGAAAAAGAAATCAAGAAAGCAAGCCCAGTTACAATAATCACCAAAAAAATAAAATACCTAGGAATCAATTTAACCAAGGAGGTGAAAGATCTCTACAATGAGAACTACAAATCACTGGTGAAAGAAATTAAAGAGGACGCAAAAAGATGG